CTTCCTTCCTTCCTTCCTTCCTTCCTTCCTTCCTTCCTTCCTTCCTTCCTTCCTTCCTTCCTTCCTTCCTTCTGGGTGGCAAATAAAGTTCACAACTAAAAATCACTGTATATAAATATTAAAAAAAACCATTAAAATGCATCACAAACAATCTAAAAAACAATGTCTGAGAATTTCAAGACCACAAAAAAATGACATCAAGCCTGCTGGCCTTTCACAATTTCCTGACCCCAATCCTTAGGGCAACTGCCAATCTCAGCATTTCCCCCAAAGGTCAGCAGGGTGGCCAGGCAGTCCAGAGGGCAAGTGCCCTGGATGGAAAGGGACGTTGCCTGGGTCCCCCAGAGACCCTCCTTTAAAGGCCACTCCTGCTGGATTGAATCAGGTGGGCAGAGACTACCAAAAAGAGAGAAGCTTTAGGTATTTGGGCCCCATGCCATACAGCAGGGGGTCTCCAACCTTGGCAACTTTAAGACTTGTGGACTTCAACGCCCAGAATTCCTCAGCCCAGCAAAACAACAAAGTCCACTGGTCTTAAAGCTTTGCTGGCTGAGGAATTCTGGGCGTTGAAGTCCACAAGTCTTTTGGAGACCCCATGCCATAGAGAGCTCTGTAGGTGGCAACCAGGACTTTGAATTGCCATTGTCTGTGAGTAGAGCAGCCATCTAATCCTTTTAATAAATAAAGAAATAAAATAACATTCTCCCAAGATTTTTGAGGTCTCAACCAATGGCGGGACTCAATTTTTTTGACTACCTGTTCTGTGGGCGTGGCTTGGTGGGCGTGGCTTGGTGGGCATGGCAGGGGAAGGATACTGCAAAATCCCCCTCCCCTCCCCACCCCACTAACCTGCTTTCCAGCTCCGTTCTCCTGGGCAGGGCAACCAAAGGAGACCCAGCCGAGCAGCTGGGACTCGATGGGAGGCAGAGAAGAGATGGGGTTGGCGGGGCCAGTCACAGGTGGGATTGGCCGGTTCTCTGAACTACTCAAAATTTCCACTACTGGTTCTCCAGAACTGGTCAGAACCGGCTGAGGAAGGAAGAGGAGGAAATGGACCTGGAGATGTGTGCGTACCAAGCCCTGTGGGGCTTTAAGAGTCAAACACGGTATTTTGAATTGAACCCAGAAGCTAGCAGGAGGGCAGTGCCCACATAGCACTCTCATCACATGCTTAAGACAGCAGGTTTGTCAATCGCCAGGCCGTTGAACGGTGCCGATGGTTTTTGTGTTCAACAGCTGGGCAATTGTGAATTGAAGGTAGTGCAAGATTGGAAGATGTGGCCCATAGAACCACCAAAAGTCAGACACGACTCAGTGGATAACATCATCATCGTTATCAGGCTGTTGAATTCTGGACCAAATGGAGCTCCTAAAAATGGTCTTCAAGGACAGCTCCACATATAGTGATGTCTGCAGTAGTGCAGTGGGGATAAAGAAATTGTGTGTGTATTTGTGTGCACCTTTGAGTCAGTCTTGACCAGTGGTGGGATTCAAAAGCTTTTACTACCTGTTCTGTGAGCATGGCTTGGTGGGCGTGGCAGGGGAAGGATACTGTAAAATCCCCTTTCCCTCCCTCCCCACCCCACTAACCTGCTTTCCAGCTCCATTCTCCTGTGCAGGGCAACCAAAGAAGACCCAGCCAATCAGCTGGGACTCAATGGGAGGCAGAGAAGAGATGGGGTTGGCGGGGGGCCAGTCAGAGATGGGATTGGCCGGTTCTCTGAACTACTCAAAATTTCCACTACCAATTCTCCAGAACTGGTCAGAACCTGCTGAATATACCACCTCTGGTCTTGACTCCTGGAAACTGTTAGGGATATACACCCTAGCAGAACCTGCACGGCAGTCAGGCAGGCAGGCAAATATGTGAGATAAACGTTCTTGTAGCTTACACTCAGTAAAACAGATACAATGTGCTAGTTAAATAGTTTATTCCAGTAAGATTTATAGCATAGTCAAACAGTCCATATATCATACACTAGTTCAATCCGTCCGGGGATTAATCAGTTGCAAAGTCCAGTGTCGAGAAAGAGGTCAGTAAACTTACAATATCAGTCCTGTAATATATCTCTTTGCAGTTAGAGATATGAAGAAGTCAAACCTCCTTTCTTCAGCAACAGCAGAGAACACGCAGTTAACAATCCATCATCGTCAGCAAGCAATTCAGTAAGCTAGCAATCAATCAGGTTCTCTTGCTCCCTCTTATGGCGTTTTTACAGCCGCACCCAAAATTACATGCTTTGCAGTAAAAGTGACACACACTTAAATTCACAATCATAGTCTATATATATTATTTTACCCAAACTACGTTAGGTAACCTATGTTATTCCTAACAGAAACTATGGGGCAAGTCCACACGGTTTTCTTGGTGTTTGCTTTGCTTTCTCCTTCCTTGGGTTGAGAGTCAGAGATTGGCCCAAAGTCACTCAGCTGGCTCTCAGCAACTGAGGAGGAAGGTGAGGCCCCAAAGCTCCTGAGAATCTACTTGGTCTTTCCTTTGAAGAGGAGAACTTCTCTCACACAATAATATCCAGTGCCAGGTCAGAGATATCATCTATGAGATGCAGTGGTGGGATTCAAATTTTTTTTATTATCAGTTCTGTGGGCGTGGCTTGGTGGGTGTGGCTTGGTGGGTGTGGCAAACAAAGGATACTGTAAAATCTCCATTCTCTTCTCTTCCCACCCCACTAATCTGCTTTCCAGCTCCGTTCTCCTGTGCGGGGCAACCAAAGACGACCCAGCCGATCAGCTGGGACTCAATGGGAGGCACAGAATAGATGGGGGCGGGGCCAACCAGAGATGGTATTTGCCGGTTCTCCAAACTACTCAAAATTTCCGCTCCCGGTTCTCCAGGACTGGTCAGAACCTGCTGAATGCCACCTCTGATGAGATGCCAAGGGCTGCTTCTCCAGGGCTGCCCCCTTGGCAGTGCCGTCACAATCCCTCCATAGCTGTGCTTGGCTGAGGACCCCCAGCAGCCAATCAGCAGGCTCCTTGAGTCACAGGGCAAGGGGTGCCTTCAACTAGGAAGAGAAAAGCAAGCAAGCCAGGCCAGAGGAAGGAAGGACCACTCAATCCAGATGAGAGCTTGCGCAGAAGTCAAGTAACAAAAGAGCCAAGAACAACTCTGCTTAAAAGATTCTCAGTGAGGAGGTACGGATTACCCAAAAGATGCCTTGTGGGTGGCCAAAACTGTCCCCTATCCACAGAGGACTGTCCAGGACAATCGAAATCTTGAATTGCATC